CGTGGCTGGCGCCTTAGCCGGTTGAGCTATAGGCGCCGAGCCTCTCCCTTCCTTCTAAAAATGTCTGAACCCAGAAGCAATCAAGCTTTCATAAACCTGTCCTATCTAAAATAACTTTTTTTTTTGAGACAAGTCTCACTAGTTGCCCTGGGTAGAGTGCTGTGGCATCATAGGTCATGGCAACCTCAAACTCTTGGGCTTAAGCGATTCTCTTGCCTTAGCCTCTCAAGTAGCTGGGATTACAGACACCTGCCACAATGCCTGGCTATTTTTGTTGTTGTTGTTGCGGTTGTCATTGTTGTTTTAGCCAGCTAGGGCCAGGTTCAACCCCGCCAGCCTCAGTGTATGTGGCCAGCGCCCTACCTACTGAGCCACAGGCATCACCTGAAAATAACTATTTTTAATAAAGCTCAAAACCGCAGAAGTTCTCACTTCCAAACAGAATGAAAAATTTTTTTCTTTTCTTTTCTTTCTTTTTTTTTTTTTTGAGACAGAATCTCACTCTGTCACCTTGGGTAGAGTGCCATGTCATCACAGCTCACAACAACCTCAAACTCTTGGGCTCAAGAGCTCTTGCCTTAGCCTCCCAAGTAGCTGGGATTGCAGGCACCCACCACAAGGACTGACTAGCAAGGGTTCTGCTCTTACTCAGGTTGGTCTTGAACTGAGCTCAGGAGACCCATTTGCTTCAGCCTCCCTGAGTGTGAGGATTACAGGCTACCGCCTGGCCAAAAATAATGCAAATTTCTTATGTCTCATGTAAATTTAATAAGGATCCTGTAACCTCAAGGTGGGCAGGACCCAGTGGCCCGCAGGCCTCTGTGCCTATACTGTTATCACTGGGGCACCCCCGCCCTCCCGACCTGGCAAACTGAAATATCCAGCCCTCTGTTATCAAGATTAGTCTTGAATGATTAGCTTTAAACATTGCCAAGTCTTCAGGAACACAACTGGTGTGAAAAGTAGAGTTAATATAAGAAAAGTGGCTGGCACAGAGTGGACCAGGGAAAACAATGGCTATTTGTATTCATTCAGGGCAGAGTATTAATTTAGGGCTTTCTTTGGATGTGGGTTTTGAAATATTGATGGGCCTGCCTGGATGAAGGCAACCTGGGGAGATTCATTAAGAGCTCTGGTGGAGGGCCGCCCGTGTGACTCAGTGGGTAGGGCACCAGCCCCAGATACTGAGAGTGACGGGTTAGAACCCAGCCCTGGCCAAACTGCAACAAAAAAGTAGCCAGGCGTTATGGCAGGCACCTGTAGTCCTAGCTACTTGGGAGGCTGAGGCAAGAGAATCGCCTAGGCCCAGGAGTTGGAGGTTGCTATGAACTGTGATGCCAAGGCAC